TTGTTTACATATCGTAAATTCCTGGGAGAGAGTCTATTTATTCCTCTGTGAAACAGATTTCCGACCAGGTCCAGAAAGCTGTGGCCACAATAGATGGATCTTGTAGTACAACATGGCTACAGGAATCTAACCTGGCCATGTACATGATGGGGGGAGGGGAGGTCCTCAGAGAAAGGGGTCTCAATCTTGTAGGCTCTCAAGTAGGTCTTCTTCCTTGTGAGGGTGTCTATTTCCGACAGGTCAGGAGTACAGATGGGCAAAAGATAGATCTTAGACTCTGTGTAGGTGTGTGTGTGTGCTTATGATGTTATCGTGATGTCCCCCGCCATATTTTTCTCATGGTGAATTGGCTCCAAAGCTAAAATTCATAAATGATTAATCATCATTGACATGATCATCATTATTTTTCAGTATAATTGATGTATAATAAGCTACATATATTTAAAGTATACAATTTATATAAATTTCAACATATCTATATATACACCCATGAAACCAGCACTACAATCAAGATAGTGAACATAACCGTCTTCCCTAAAAGTTTCCTCGTGCCCCATGGTGATGCATCTTTGAGGCCCACTCCCTCCCCTAAACAACTGCTGACCCACTTCCTGTCACAATGGATTCACTTGCGTTTTCTGAAGTTTTATGTGAACAGAACCATAGAGGACATACTCTTTCTGTCCGGCTTCCCTTAATTATCGTAATTGTAAGATTCATCCTTGTTGTTGCAGGTACAAATAGTCTCATTCCTCATTGCTGAGTTCATTGTACTCCATGATATGGATGCTTTCTTAAACATTCTCTAAACAGAGATTGTCAGGGTTCGCAGGGACATAGTAAAAGTTCACACCAATTACCCGCAAAAGTATATGGCGGGATAGATCTTAGCCAAGTGCGGAATAAACACCTCACTCAAGTTGCTAAAAGTTAGCAGAGCTAATTATGTTGTGTTTATGCGAGTGATTAACAAAGACTACGGATTGCAACAATTTCTAGGCAGTGTGAGCACGTTTCTGCTACTCAGCAGGAGGCTCTGAGGATCTGAGGGTGGGAGGGAATCAGCAGGGAGGCACCGGGGGGAGCACAGGTCTTAGTTCTAGCCCAGCTGTGTGACCCAGGAGAAGTCACTTCCCATGCCTGAGCCTCAGTTTCCTTATTCACCAAATAGGGAAATTGGACAGTGCTGTCTCAGCCTTAGCATTTGTACAATCTCCTTGGCTCGACAGTGTCAGCACGTGAGCTATCTTGCCTCGGCTCTGCTGGATCTCATCAAACCCACTGCCAAGGATGAGCCCTCTTGTCCATTTCACTGGGAACTCAAAGTGCCTGGTAGGGGGTAAGTTTTTTTCCATTTAGTGTCCAACTACAGGAGGCTTCTTTCAAAAGCCCTGAGCTCCCAAATTCTAGTTCTGTAGCCAGCTGCAGCTCTTGGCTTGGCATTCATCCTTGCCACCGAGAGAAAGAAGAGCCCTCTTCTGGAGCGTCTCAGCCCGGGGTTCCTTCTGCAAACTCGCTGCCCGGGGGCCAGCTTCCTCTGTCTCTGGTCACTCGGAAGTGCCCTCCCCTCCTGTATTCTCCTGAGATTTAGCAGGGAGGCAAGAACCAGGGCTTAAAGAGGGGAGGATTTCAAGGAAGGGAGGTCGGCATGAGCCCTCAGGGCAGGGCGATGGAGGAAGGGGGGATGCAGGATCGCTGTGGCAGAGATGGATGGAGACAGGAGCCACGTCACCTCAGCACCTTCCAGACATGCCCAAGGTCCACGTCATCACACAGTGCACGCGGAGCATCCATTCCTCCCTCAGCATCCTACTGCTCTGTCTCCTTAGGTCTCCACAGCAGCCTGAGGACCAAGGCAACCCACTTTCCATTTACCCCCAACCTCCACCCATTTCACAGAGAGGGAAACTGATGTCCCAAGGGACTCAATGGTTTCCCGCAAAATGGAAAATCAGGGAGCTCAGCCACAGTCTGTTCGGGCTTCAAACCCCAAAGCCTGCATGCCAGACACTGACTGAGCACCTGCCAAGGAATCAAAGATCTGTAATCCGTGGCCTCTTCTTTCAGACACCTCTCTCTCCAATAGCAAAGGCAGAGAGTGGAGTTTCCAAAAGAGGGGCCAAGGAAGGGCTGTAGGCACGAGGAGAGGGGGCAGGAGGCTCCCAGCTGCAGGGAGCGAGGAGAACCTTGCTTTTCCTCCGTCCTGCCCTTTCTGCCAGCCCGCCGAGCAAGCTGCCCATAGAAGCTGGGGAAGACAGACAACTTAAGTTTCTCTTCTTGTTTTGAGTCGTGATCAAAAAATACTGAAAAAGGAAATAAGCAAAAGATATTTAGAGGGAGGAAATGCCCTTGGGCTTTTGTCTAAAAATTTCTGTTCACACTAACTTGCACTTTTTTTTTTTTTTAACTTTCGTAAACCCTTTAATGCATCCTAGCTGAAGAAGAGACTGAGAGACTCTGAATGACTGGCTTTCTGGTCTGGTACCCCCCAAAAGTGTTAACTTTGATTATACCTGCAGTGGAAATGAGTTCACTGAGTGGGGATGGAAGTTACTCTACTTCACACTGTTCTCAAGTGTTTGAAATTTTTCCACGAGCCTGTTAGTCTCCAGAGACATCCACATCCAAGTAATGGGCGGGGGAGGGGGGAGGGGGGCGGGGTCTGAGGGCAGTGGCTGGGGAGGAATAGCAGACAGAGGCCATTGGTTGGTGTTGCGGGGCAATTGTGGAGAGTTTCACAAGCATCCAAAGACCTGAGTCCGAGAACTGGCTCCAACGTCTAGTGCTCTAATAACTGGGAGCAAGTCAGCAAGTCACTTAACCTTGTGCAGGTACCAATTCTCCATCCGTAACACGGGACGGTCATCATAATGGTAATAATAGCAACCATCCTACCTCCCTTCGAAAGTAAGGAGCAAGTGAAACAATGTGAGAGTGTGAACGTGCACGCAGAAGTGAAGTATTTCACTCTTATTATTACGAGGCTCTTCAACTATCTGAAAAACTGCTCCTCCTCTCCTCTCCCCTACCTCGCCTGCCAAGGTATTAAAAACCGATAAAACATCCATTGAGAGAAAGTGTTTCCAGACCCAAATAATTTCCACGGGTACAATTTGCCCGAAATGCAAAATTTCATTACACAGTGAAGCTACATGAGACATTTTACAAAGTCTTTGAGTGAGCTGTGATAAATTGTCATTATCTCAGATTTGTAGTCATTGGGGGGGTTGCAGAGCTGCTCAAAACAACTGATAGTTGTACCATGTACTTCACGCCTGCCCGTCCCTTCCTCTGTTTTTTCTCTGCGCAGTCTGTTGCTCATCACACTCCCTCCAAAGGAGCACGTTCCTCTTACCTCTGACGGCCTGTTTGCACAGATCTCACTTTTACGCACCGATATAACCCTTAAGACCCGGCTTGGAGCCTCTGCAGACAGAGGAGGAGGTAGCTTTGGTGAAGAAGGCCAAAGAGCACATGTTTTGGGAGGGAACATGAGAAAATCAGCAGAGCAGCAGGGCATTCCGACTGCAACTTTGCCAAAGATTGGGAAAGCATGCACACACTTCCCAGCAATCTCATTTGGCAGGTTGTAGAAACCAGGTCTTTAGATGGATGCTTCACCTTTAAACAGGACAGTTTGGTTCATTATATAATGAGCCTAGAATTACATGCAAAGTTGCCATTCTTTATACTTTTCTGTCTGAATTGTCTTGATGTTTTACTTTCCCCTATATAACCCTATGCCAAAGAGAAAATGAAAACAATTAGGTAGCAGCCGCTTGGGATGAGGTACATGACGGGTAACAGGTGTGTGGTCGGTCATAGGGACATTTACTGTGGCAAGTAATCTGGTGGAACATCTGGAACACAATCCCCTTTTACAGATGAGGAACCAGGGACCTGGGGCCAAATTTCACTTTTTCTCTCTTTGACAAAGGGGTATGTAACTTGCATGTATGTCTTTACTTAAGAAAAGCGAATACCCCAAAATCCCCAGTTGCAGAGCTGTGTGTATGATGGTCACTTACTCTAGATGGATTCATAAAAAAAGGAGGGCTGACTCAGAATCTCTTTCTATATCTATCAGCCCTTCTCACGCAGATTTGACTCGCCAGTTTTGCAAAGCAAGGCGCTCCACTCGTTCTATTCATCCCCCAACACCACTGTCCTCCAAATAATCAAATGGTTGAGCAGGGTTGATCTCTCTGAAACTTGAAAGGGTATTTCTTTGAGTTGCTTGCTATGGAGAAATCAGCTGAAAATTATTCAGAACAATAGTGGTTTTCCCTCTGTGCAATGACTAGACCCAAACAAATTGATCCCTTCTCCCGCCTCCGCCTCCGCCTCGCCTACAAATCCCCCACAAAACACCCCACCACCAGATTCCTCTCCTTCTAGGGCTGATGGAGGCTCTGAAAGACACCTGCCGGCCCAGCTCCCTCTTCCGGTTTTAGTATCCGTCAGTCTAAATGCCAGTGAAATAGTAGCCAGGACTGGTTTGGTTTATGTTGTTCTTTTTTTTTTTTTTTTAAATACAAATAACATTTCTTTCAATATAAATATACAGTTACATGAAAAAATAGAAAAAAGCACACCGATTGTGATTACTGTCCAGCAGGAACATGTTTTGTCGCTAATAGAGTCAGAGATCACATTCTCCATAAGAACACGTTATTTTAGCCTATTTCTAGGACACTTTCAAACATAAGACCTTCCTTGTCCGACAGTCAAATCCTCTTTGAGATGATTTAAATATGCCAGTGATGAGTGTCTAACATATCCAGGAATCAAGGCTATTGAAGTGAGCTAGAATCTGACCCCAAGAATACAACTGTCAATACACGGAAACGATATAAATCACTTCATCAGACTGTGAAAATACATCCGATTTTAAATCTCCAGCAGGTAATCAATTACTTACAAAAACAAAACAAGACACAACAGCTCAGGTGTGTTTCTCCGATTGAAGCTGAAGTGCCCTGCGGCAGTCCTGGGTTGAGGGGGGCGTGGGGAAGGGGGCGCCCCTCCCCCCCGTGCCACCCCAGCCCGGCCGGGAGGCTGCGAGTCACTTGGACCGAAGAGTGCCCAGGATTCTGTCCCAGTGCGTGAAGTAAGGGGCAAAGTTGCAGTTGAACTGCGAGTGGTGCAAGTCGTGGTGCGTGACGCCGCCGTACCACCCGAAGGGTACCAGTCTGTGCGTGGACCAGGGGAAGTCGTAGCCGGAGTGGTCCTCCACCGACAGCCAGATGTTGAGCACGTGGAACACCAGGACGGTGAGCGGATGGCACTGCAGCAGCGTGACGTTCACCGCGTCGAAGAAGCCCAGGGAGAACAGCTCCCAGGCGCTCATGTACTGCGTGGCCAGGGCGAACGAGGCCGAGTTGCGGTGGTGCATCTTGTGGAAGGTGCGGTAGAGCCAGGGCACCTTGTGATGGAGCACGTGCCACGCGAAGAACTCCGCGTCGAAGAGGAGCAGGCAGCCCAGGACGTGGCGCGCCAGCTGCAGCAGCTCGGGGGCTTCGCGGGGCCAGGGGGCCGGGCCGCAGGCCCAGGACAGCAGCGTCAAGGGGAGCACGAACACGGCGTGCTGGTAGAGGGTCTGCCCCAGGCAGGGCAGCATCTGCCGCGCCGTTGGCGAGAAGTCCGGGTGGATCTTGTAGCGCCGCAGCGCGGGCACCCAGGGGCACAGGACGTCCAGCACCACGAAGGGCAGGCAGAAGCCCACGTACGTGCTGATGGAAAAGAGGACCGCGAACAGGGGCGACTGCGTGAGCGCGTCCCGGGCGCGCAGCTGGTCCCAGAGCGGCTGCAGGACCAGCTGGTCCGAGCTGCCGAGGATGTGGAGCTCAGACGTGTTGCGGCAGCTCATGGTGAGGCTGTGCCGGGGCCGCTCGGGTCCCGCCGACTTTTCTTAGCGCCGCGGCCCCGCCCCGAGTGATGTCAGCCGCCTCCTCGCGCCCCCATTCCCGGCCGGGCCGAGCTTGCAGAAATAAACAGCCCCACAGACAGCCGCGCTCGGTTGCCAAAATGTACATCTACGGCGGCGCTGAAACGGCTTTTCTATGCGCAGTATGCAATGTTACTTACTAACTTTTTACGTGCACGCACATTTACGTTCCGTTTTTTTTTTTTTTCCAACCGCTGTACCGTGTACGCGCGATACAACGCGCAGATCTTCAGTGCGGTGTCTACAAATTTTGACAACTTAATTCCTCTGCCACTATCACCCCCGAACAAGATAATGTTTGCGCCACCACGGTAAAGAGCTCCTTCTCCGTCGGTGCGCAATCGCTTGTATTTTTTAAATGCATACATATAATTGCGTCTGTGTGCTTTCCTAAAGAGGCAACCATCACTGCATTTTTTTAAACTTTTAAAAGCGACGTACCTTCTGTATTTCCGATCTTTTCTGTCGGCACACCTCGTATCGATCTAACGATCTGCGAGCGGCACACCGACCTTCCCGCAGGGGGAACCGTCGGGCGCCCGGGCGCGCGCAGCGGCGATCGGCGATCGGCGCGGGAAGTCGGAGCGGACGGCCGGCGGGACCCGAACCTCTCCGGTTCCAGCGTCTCGGAGCGCAGCTCTCGCCGCCGACTCGCCGCAGGCTCCCGGTCTCACCGCGCGCGGACTCCTCACGCCGGGTCCGCTCACCCGGGCGGCCGCTCGTTTCTTTCTCCGCGGCGAGCGCTGAGCCCAGACCAGCGACCCCGACCAGGAGGCACGGCGACAGGGCAGGGACCGCGGCTGTGAGGCTTCAATTAAAAAAAAAAAAAAAAAAAAGTGCTGGGTTTTAACATCCACAGTCTGCCCAGATCTGGCTACAAAGCCGCCTAGGTCTCAATCTGGGATGGAAGCAATGAAAGTAAACCACCCGCCTTGTTCCTCAACGGAGCATCTGTGCATCCGTGCGCGGGAGGCTGTGCACCGAGCGGAGGAGGCGCGCCTACCCTGCGCTCCTCTCGGCGGGCATCGCGGGGCCAGGCTGCCGCTGGTCCTCAACCCGCGTTCCCCCGACCACCCCTGGCGCCCAGAGCCCGACTGTGCGGCAACCCCCCCCCACCTCCGCGGCTCTCGGGGGACCGAGCGGGAGGAGGTCGGTACTGGGCGAGCTCGGGGGTCACCGGGGACCCGCGTAGAAAACCACCTCCGCCTTAGACCCGGGTGGCTGCCACGCGACACAAGAGTCCCCTAGAGGATAGAAGTTGGGGACGAACACTTTGAAGGCGGGCCCACTCGGAACTAATTCTAGCTTTTCCTCTTGTGTCTGTGAGGTTGGGGTACGGCGCTTCACTCCCCGGAGGCTTTGCATTTTCTTGTCCACCTCCCATCCCGCTAAAGGAAAATAAGAGTAGCCATCGCATGAGGTTATTACAAGCATTAAAATGGGAAAACAACAACAACAAAAATAATACTATAACGTCTGCCAGGCATTAGCTAAGTGTTTCATTTGAAGGGATTTCATTCGTGGCTGGGAACCCCAAGCTGCCGAGAAGAGGCATCGCGATCAGTGCTGTGGCCCTTATAGAAGCAAAAGCAGAGCGCTTAGCACACAGCACACTTGCAAAGTAAGACGCATATTATTTTAAATTTGTGCTCCACATTTTACCTAAAGAACCAAGGAAGTTTACAATTAAATCAAATAAAATCGTGTAAGGAGAAATAAAAGATGTAAAGCCACGTATTAGGAGGACCGGTATATGGACCTAGAAATATAACAATATATAGGGTATATATATATATATATATCATAAGCCAGTTCATAATATTTAATGATATATATATATTTTTAAAGATTTTATTTATTTATTTATTTATTTGACAGAGAGAGGAAGAGAGACAGTGAGAGAGGGAACACAAGCAGGGGCAGAGGCAGAGGGAGAAGCAGGCTTCCCGCGGAGTAGGCAGCCCAATGCGGGGCTCGATCCCAGGACCCCGGGATCATGACCCGAGCCGAAGGAAGACGCTTAATGACTGAGCCACCCAGGTGCCCCATATTTAATGATATATTAATATCTAATAATGTATCGGGTGTTATACACATGCCCTATAACATATATCATAAGCCGGTGCATAATATTTAATGACATATTAATATCTAATAAGGTATTGGGTGTTATACACACACCCTGTAACAAACCAGTTCATAATTCAGAACTTCCTAGGTGGCGTTTGTCCCTGAACCACCACTGATGGAATACACATACTCCCTAGATGCCCATTCTCTGGGGCCTCCAGCCTCTGGCTATACTGCAGCTTTGTTTTCTTTGAAACTTCAGTGTGGGGCGCCTGGGTGGCTCAGATGGTTAAGCGTCTGCCTTCGGCTCAGGTCATGATCCCAGAGTCCTGGGATCGAGTCCCGCATCGGGCTCCCTGCTTCTTGGGAGCCTGCTTCTCCCTCTGCCTCTCTCTCTCTCTCTCTCTCTGTCTCTGTCTCTCATGAATAAATAAATAAAATCTTAAAAAAAATGTTTATAAAAAAAAGAAACCTCAGTGTGCTAAGAATATTATGATATTCTACTTGTGTATTGATGAGACAAAGGTTCAGAAACAGCTCCAAGTTTCTTGACAGGCAATGCAAACATGGAAAGAGGGTGGATTTTCTAACTGCTTGGATATCTGGCTGGTAGAAGAGCTGGGTAAGATGCAGGCCCCTGGCCTCCCTTGCTGGTGAATTTCTAGCACATAGACAACCTGCTGCTTCTAGGCTCCTCTTCAATCTTCCCCTCCTCCAAGGCTCTTTCCGATTCACCTTTAGGGCAACCCAGGAACTTCTTCCTTTCCCATTCCTGGCAGACAAGACTTGCCCTTGAACTTTGCATGGCTCCAGCAGCATCTCAGAGAGAAGAGGAAGGGCTTGGTCTCCTTCGCTCTTGGACCCCTCAGTGCTCCAAAGGGACTGTCAGAGCTCACTTTCTCAGACTTACAAGTGAATTCTGCTTAGAGGTAAATTATCACTCAGATTTGCCCTCCAAAGAAATTAACTCAATCTTCAAACTTCCATTCAGCACACACTGTCTGCTTCTTGTGGTGTCAGCCATCATGCTTGGGTGCTTTGGATACTCCTGTGGATTTTTTAAGTGGGTGGCATTGGCAGACTTGCTTATTTCGGACTTAGCTACTAGGTTGCTGTCAGGACTGCCCCTTTGAGCCCCCAGCCCCACCCAACCCATTCTTTGCCTTCTTCAGTTCTTCCATCGTCTATCACTAAGCCTGTTAGAATACTCTCCACAGGCCGGTTGCTTAGAGCCCTGTGCAGCAAGATCCAGAAGCCTTGGCCGCCCCCTGCTTGGCCCAGGCTTTCCGCTCTTGCTCACAGCACTTTGAACAGGCATCCACCGGTGTCCCTGCCTTTCCAGCCCATCAGCTGCCCGGGACAGAAGTCTGTGTCCCATATACAAATGCAACCATCCCGGGGAAAGTAGTCAGTTAAAATTTCATCGTTGTCCACTCGATGTCATAGGGAGGATGCCGGGAAAGGTAAGCGCAACATTACGGGCAACCAAGACAGCACCACTTAAATGGACCCAAATGAAATCGAACCCTGTTTAGTCTTGACTAAAGTGGTACCATTTCCTCAACTGGCAAATGTGCACCTTTAAGCACTTCATGAACACAAAATATATTTAACAGCTTTCTATGTGAATAGTTCTTTTTAGGGCACAGGTACTACCTTTTAGGATTTTTTTCTTCCCACAGTACCAAGCATTATACCTTGCACATAGTGAGCATTCAAAAGACATCTGTGGACTCAATGCTTGTTTTTAAACATACTAGCTCTAAATCGAAGCTAAAAAGTTGTTTTGTTTTGTTTGTTTGTTTTTGGCTAGAGCACTGCTTGGTGTGGTTTAGCTACGTATCTACTGGGATGGTTTTCCATAGAAGGGGTTATTTACCGAGCTCTGGTGGGTATTAGGACTTCAGCCATACTATTGCTTGTGCTTCTCCAGTTGACTTTGACTTCTTATATATCATTTTTAAGTTGGCATGGTCTTTCTGACAAGGTTGGAGGACGGGATTCTTTTCTTCTCCAGCTACCCCAGAGATCAAATCATTTTTATGAGTGCAGCAATCGAGTCTGTGCATATTTAACACAATCTCAAAGTTATTGGGTATTACTCAGCAGAAGACTTTGGATACTGCCCCCACCCCCACAAATAGAACACGTACTTGGATTACCAATGACATCCTCTTTTTCTATGTGACCTTTATGGTTTTTTTCTTTCCAGAATTAGAGAAGGTGTTCTTTGATCTAACTGAAACAGATACTGCCAGATATCAGAGATGAGAAGTGGGTTATAATGCCTTACAGCTGTAACACATAAGAATCATAGAGGATGGAGTAATCTCAAAGATTAATCTCAAAGATTAAAATGTAATCCCTTGAGGCGCCTGGGTTGTTCTGTCGGTTGGGCGTCTGCCTTCGGCTCAGGTCATGATCCCGGGGTCCTGGGATGGAGCCCCAAGTTGGACTCCCTGCTCAGCGGGGAGCCTGCTTCTCCCTCTCCCTCTGCCTGCCGCTCCCCCTGCTCCCCTCTTTCTGTCAGATAAATAAATAAAATGCTAAAAAAATGTAATCCCTTGTTATAAAAATGAAGGCTTCTTGTCAGAAAAGTCAGGACTAGCTAGGGTTGAATAGAAAGTTACAGCCAACATGAAAGCAGAATCTTTTGTCAGTTTCAAGGTAGATACTTCTACAAAAGGACTTTGGTGTTGGAATGAGGCACTGAAGTTTCACTTATAGGGAAGTTTCCAAAAGACTCAGAAAACACTACTTACCCACACACCAAAACAGAAGATACTGATGAAGAATGTGGGAGATGTTAGCTCCCCCAAGAGACTCCTTGACACCCTATTACACACAGATGCTGATTCACTTTTGGTTTCAAACACTTTCTCTTTATGTTTTTTATCCATCCACCTAAGTGTGTGCTTCTATGGAAATTGTCAGAATGCTCATCAACCCCTTTAAAATATTTAAAGCGTGTAAAAATCATCTCCATTAAAAGGCATCCCATTGCCTGGAAAGCAGAGAAAATACCTCACCTACCAAGGGAGTTGCTGCAAAATTCAGGCCTTGTGAGAAGGTTTTAAAAATCAGAAGGCACAATATAAAATGCAAAGTATTTTTTAGTATCACTAAAACAAGTTGGCAGAAAGAGTTTTACTTGCTTAGTTTGGAATTGAACTTGAAATCTGCACCTAGCACAGTGTGATACTCAATAAATACTCTTGAATGAATTACTGATGAGCTTTTTAAAAATCAGAGGGGCACCTGGGTGGCTCAGTCGGTTGAGCGTCTGCCTTTGGCTCAGGTCATGATCTCAAGGTCCCGGGATGGAGCCTGTTTCTTCCTCTCCCTCTGCTTCTCCCCCAGCTCATGCTCTCTCCTGCCCTTGCTCTCTCTCAAATAAACAAATAAAATCTTTAAAAAGTAATAAAATAATAAAATAAATAAAAATCAGAATAATTATTGTCACCTAATGTTGCCTTTGGGGGGGGTCACATTTTGAAAGTATCTCCCGATATTAAAAACTAAATGACAAAAGTTAAAAATACATATATTTTAAATGTTTACATTGAACACATTAACACCTCTAATAAAATAATCTTCATTATTTGGAGATCGTATCAATAGTCTCAATTTTGGTCCTTCATAAGTGTGAGACCTAGGTTAAAGCCTCCCCCACTGCCCCTTCCCTGTCTGAGGTTCTGACCATTCTTTTACCCATCAGGCAAATTTTCATCTTCATGTCACATTTGGGGCACAGCTATTCTTTGAGGACATTTTTCAGATATTATGAATTAGGCCTGAATTGGTCATAATCCTGGCTAGAAATGACCAGAGACATGGTTGGTCTCACCAGTCCTCAAATTACTAACTGGCTCTCGAATTAGCAAAATTCTCCGCCTTGCCCAGAGGAAGACACTAGAGAAAGCCTCCTTACAGAAAGAAAAGGTTTGGCAGCAAAGTCAAGAGCGCCCTCTGATGGCGAATGAAAGAAATGACTCTGTTCTCAACTGTAACTTCATTTGGCGGCTTTGCCCCCAGTGACTACGGGGTCTTCGAGTTCCAAGTTGGCAGTGTATTAATTAGTCTTTCTTGCCCTAGAGATCTGTGGATATCTTTCTGTGCTGCTCAAAGGAATATGTATCAAACCAAGTTGAAGAGTCAGAAGTCCTACCAACTGGTAACAGGACTTCTTAAGGCACAAACTCCTACCTTGTATTGTACTCAGGCAAAGATAAAACAAGACTGTTTTGTTAAACAATAAAACTGGGTGGCTCAGTCTGTTAAGCAACTGCCTTCGGCTCAGGTCATGATCCCGGGGTCCTGGGACTGAGCCCCACGTCTGGCTCCCTGCTCCGCGGGTAGTCTGCTTCTCCCTCTCCCTCCCCCGACTCGTGCTCTCTCTCAAATAAATAAAAATCTTTTTAAAAAAACAATAAAATAAAACAACGATGAAACATTAATGCAGCCAGGGTTGTAAGGATATAAAGGACCTATGCAGCAGTGTCATAGCACTGTACCAAGAACAGCTATGCAACATCTCTACCTCTAGACGGGCCCCACGCTGAAGAAAACTCCCCAGAGAAAAGTCTGGAAAGGAGAAGAGAAACTCTCACCAGTAAGAGGTGGACTGTATAGAATGGACCCCCTCCCCCTGCTCATCCATATCACCTCGCGTGTGAAAGCTTTACTCACTCATTGTCAAGGAAGTCTGGGGGTGCCCCCATGGCAGCAACCCAAGCGAGAGACAGCAAGTCACCTATGGTGCTGAAGCCATTCTCGGTTGGGCAAGCGCTCTCCCACTAGTGCTGGAAAACAGCAAACAAAAATACCTATTCACAGTCCCTTTCTTTCCAGCCCTACCCAAGAATCTTGTACCTGGTTGGCCAAACTGGTTTGCTTTGATCAAAGGAGAAAGAAGGTTTGGCAGGGGGAGACATAAAGCCTGTGGGGAAGGTGGCATCCTCCTGGGCATGTATATCCTGTGCATCCAGTACACCTGGACTCTTTTCTGTGGGTGCCATGAGGAAACATTGATTCTGCTTCAGTCCTTAGACCCTCCCGGGTGTTACTTGTACATCTAATTTCATTTAGCTAACTGGGAAAGTCTCTCACTTTTCACACATCTTGTGAGTCCATATGTATTTTTTGACTCACTATATTCCAGGCTGTGTTCGATTCTGGGTATATAGAGATGAGTAAGATAGACCTTCTGCCCTCAAGCTCAGAGAGTAGTGGAAGAGCTCACATTGGATGCCCTCCCCCCCAAGATCTATGCTTTGGGGATCCTATGGCATGAAAGACTTGTCTCTGCGTCCTTCAAGGAGAGAGTTAATGGGCAGTCCCTGAATCCACGGTCCTATCTGCGGATGGGTCAGTCTCTGCTCGCTCTCCACTCAGCCTCACGAGCTCGAGCAATGGACCCTGCGGGGTAAGGTTGAGAGCCAGAGTTTCCAACCTATCTCCCAACCCCCCTTAGTTTGAGAACGCTCTCTCCTCACTGTGGGAGGGGATCCAAGGTTCACGGGCAATAAAGGAGAACACGCACATACCCACAGTCCTTCCAGCTAGGAGGCTACTGAGTTTTATTGAAAAGTTCAAATAAGACTTTTTAAGTATTACAAAGTAGTTATCGCGCTGTCTGCATACATTAGCCACTTCCAAGTATTGTTTATTATCGCAGCTAAAAGAACTGTATCAGGAAAACATCTCAACTGTCATTCCGTCCATCTGTCAATATTGCAAGGACAACGTGCAGCAAGAAAAGCAGGTGAATAAAGGCTTCCCGAACTAGGAACGCAAATCAGGAGTATTGAAAATATGGTCATGTGCAAAACTAAAAAACAGAAAGAATCCCTGAGCATTTGTCTTAAAACATTCACGCTCACATTTCTTTCATGTGAAAATGAGTAGGACACTCCTCCTGGGCAGCCCCTGGGCTTCTACTTCCCACGCAGGAGCACTGAGCTAGGGCAGCTAAGAGAATGCATTGATTTTGCAGAAAAGAGTGGTACTGTCTCCCCACAGGACTTGTCTTCTCACACATGTCGATTTACGGCCCACCACACAATTATGAGTTCATGAATATAGATGGTCGCCTGCAACAGTCTTCAAGCTATTTAAAATAGAGGGCTGGAGTTTTTTTGTTTGTTTGCTTTTTAAATGAATGTCATTTATTTTCTGAAGATTCCAGCAAATTATTTGGCTTGCTCTGAGCAATTTAAACATTTGCTAAATAATGACTATCATGGTTAGGTTTGATAAAATTCATCATAGAATCTTCGCAACTGGCCCGGCTGCGGTGTCACTGTGCGCCTACTGCACAAGAGCAGGAGTATTTGTCATTTAGCTCCCTAGTGACCGCAAGGCCACTGGACTGAAGAGCCCTTTAAGGCAAAGAGGTAAAAACTGAGCGCATGCGGAGCTTTTTCAAATCGGTGTCAGGTTATTTACCAATGGACCACACACCCTAAAAACTCCAACACCTACTTGGCGTGTCCTGTGTGACCGCAAGAAGGCAATATTGTAAGGATAAATTATAAGGATATCCAGAATGGTTAGGATCTTTTACAAGTCAGTGGTATTTTTAAAAAAGTCTTCAAGAGGCCGCACTACCTTCTGAGACGCTAGCCTCGACTAGGCCATGATTAAACAAAAAAAGTGCAATTTCTAATTCTGGAGGCACTTGAACAATGTCAATCATAATTTGATCAGAGACAAAAATGCAAACAGCCTGGGAAAGACAGACAGCTATTTTAGAGGAAGAAAGCACGCACACTTGAACGTGGCCGAACACCCAACGTGACGGTCCATTTCTGCAGCATGCCTCACGTCTCTCAAGGGTATTTCTTCATTAGATCCACCACATCATTATAGAGCCGCCAAGGGGCATCCAAGCCCCAGATAAAGTCCAGGTGCTCCCACTCCGGGATGAGCTTGCTGTACACCAAGTTGGTGATCTGCGGCAGTAAGATGCTGATGTCGCTGACGTCCGCCAGGGAGTCCTGGCCCCCACTCCAGACGGCCGTGGGCACCAGCATGTCCTTCACGTTGTAAGGGGGAGGGTAAGTCTATAATAAAACCGACAGAAGGCTTTGTTGGCATTTTAACTTATAGAAACACAGCCAAACAATCCCCCGTGAGATACTGATTAGTAAATGTGACAGTGGAAGACCCAAGTTTTGAAAACCGTTCTCAGTTTTCAAGTTACGGTTACCAGAACCAAAAGACACCTAGCTAGCCCCCAAGGGCGGAATCCTAGCTAGAAGAGCTTCCAGCTGTCGAGTGCCCTGGAGGAAGGGGCTCCTCTCCCTGCTGGTGGTCATGAAACGCTGGAAGCCAAGGGGTTGGGTGGTGGCTCTGGAGTCCTGCCTCCTACTGTCTCTTCGTCTCCGTCTGGGGTACGACACATCACAGGAATTCTGTAGCCTCAGTTCCCTCACCTTCCATGACAATAGGCACCACATCTGTCACACGGACATTGCGAGAATTAAACAAGAAAAGTAGGGGCAGAGTGCCTCCCACTTCAGAGCACCCGGGCCTCAGAATATGGTCCGTTTCTTTGTATGTGGAAGGCAAGGCGTAGGCGATGGAGTCTGGCCAAGGCCCACCAGCTGCCAGGGAGCAGACCGAGGCTAGTCTGACTCTGAAGGCTGTGTTCCTGGTCACGATGAAGCACGTGTGACTGTGACCGTTGTCACAGACTCAGGCAGCAGGACTGAGAGGGGAGGCCCAGGCCACACCACCAACCACAAAGCTCGGGTTGTTCCGGAAGACGGACGGAAACCAACAGCATCTACTCAACTCTCCCCAGCATGTCCCGCAGCACCTGCCCCCCCCACCCCCACCCCCACCCCACAGCCCCGTGACTCCAGCTGGCTTCCCTGGTGGGTTTAATTCTAGACTTTTGAAGCCTTTACCTGGTTGTAATGGAAATAATTCCTGGCCTGGCTTCCCCAGTCAAAGGCTTGAAACTTCTGGAATTTAATAAACTAAAAAGAAGATAATTTGGGGGAACAGGTTATCTGACACAGAAGTTTGAGAAAGCCTCACAGGTGGCTACTTAGCTGTATCCTCAAAAGTCCCATTTTACACTGTAACCAGATTTACTCTTTATTTCCAAAGTGTAATTTAAAATAAAATGGTGGTGGGAGGGAGGCGCCTGGTGGGTCAGTCTGTCAAGAGTCCAGTGCTTGACTTCAGTTCAGGTCATGATCTCAGGGTTGTGAGATCGAGCCCCGTTTTGGGCTCCCTGCTCAGTGGGGAGCCTGCTTGTCCCTCTCCTGTGCTGCCCCCTGCTGGTGCTTCCTCTCTCTCAAATGAATAAAAAAAAAAAAATGTTAGGGGACGCCTGGGTGGCTCAGTCGGTTAAGTGTCTACCTTTGGCTCAGGTCCTGGGATCGAGCCCCACATCGGGCTCCCTGCTCAGTGAGGAATCTTCTTCTCCCTCTGCCTCTCCCCCTGCTCTCTCTCTCTCTCTCTCTTGCTCTTGCTCTCTCTCTCAAATAAATAAAATATTAAAAAAATAAAAAGTTAGGAAGGCAATTCCTACAAAAATATGTCCTGAGGTGGAAATAAGTCCCTGATATACTGTTAGGTGGGGAAAAAGCAAGTTATAAAAGAATAAGTAGAAGAAAATAATTAATCTATTTCTACAACTATTATTTCTATCTGCATCTTTAGCCAGTTCTTTCTGAAATGATCTGCAGCAAGAGGTAGAGAGTAGAATGCAGAGACACTTCATGTCTCTGGGTACACATTTTCTGTCTCTGCGTCTGATTGCCAAGTCTTGTTTTTTAATTGTGAAGAGAATTTTCGTTATCTTTTTCCTATACGTAATTACTAAATTTTCTAGAATGAACATGCATTGCTTTTGTGTATGTGATAAAACAATCAAAACTGCATTTTAAAAGTGAGTGGCTCCTATTTACGCCCATGACTGGTTTTGCTCTGGTGTATCCACTAATGGTTTCAGTACGTCGTGTTCATGGGTTCGTGACGACATCGCAGCCTCCCTCTCAAAGCTGCTCCCAAATCTTGCTTTGTGAAGCAACTCCGAAATAAAATAAATCTAGGACTCAGTGAAAAACTGACAGAGGGGCGGGACGGGGAGGGGCGAGGAAGTCAAGCCCAACAGCAGTTGGATGAACTCGCCCGGAGTACAAGGGCACAATGACAGGAACCCAGGACTCTGGGGCAGGAAAGCAGCTCCCATCTGCAAGCAGCCTGGTTCAGTGCAGGACAGGAAGGGCTTGGGAAGGGCTCGCAGAGAAGTGCTTCATGGGGAGCACAGAACTCTCTCTAAGGCTGACTTTACACAAGCCCCGGGTGCACCCTGGGGATGCCTACCTGGCCCCAGTGCACAATGTTTTGCACAGAAGTTCCGGCAGGAGAATGTGCCACATAGACGGGCACTCTGGACTGCAAAAGAAACATGGTGACATGAAGACAGGACACAGCATGAAGGAGGCACTGATGATAAACATCTTTTGCGTTTCAGAGCCACAATCTCAAATACAGGAGATCAAGAGCAAGGAAAAAAGTTCTAGTTCTTTGATGACAAATATGTCCTATCAGAATACGTACAACCACACACGTGCAGAATACATACGAAGGAAGCAGAGCAACATGGTAGCTAACTGTAGGGCTGTGTGGGCTGAGCTTACTGGTCGTTTTGATTTTCTTCTTCAAGCTTTTCTGAATTTCCAACATTTCATATAATAATCAGACCTTGTTTTTATCATCGGAAACGAGAAACATTAATACTGTAAAAAAAAATTCCCTAGAGCCTTCATTCTAGAATTTCAAGGCCTGTTTTCAAAATGCAACATTACAAATGACAAATATATTTAGAAATACCAGCAAAGGGGCGCCTGGGTGGCTCAAGCGGTTAAGCATCTGCCTTCGGCTCAGGTCATGATCCCAAGGTCCTGGGACTGAGCCCCGCATCGGGCTCCCTGCTCAGCGGGGAGTCGGCTTCTCCCTCTGCCTCTGCCCCTCCCCCTCGCTCGTGCTCCTTCTCTTGCTCTCTCTCAAAATAAATAAAATTTTCTTTAAAAAAAAAAAGCATTAGAAACACCGGCATATTGCTGGCGGAGGGTCTACATTTTATAAAATAAGTAAATACATGTGTACACACACACACACACACACACAAATTTAAATACACTTACAATAATCTCTTAAAAGAAACAGATCACTGGAATGAATATAAATACCAGGACTTAAATTATGACAAGTGTCCTCATTCAGTAGGAAGTTGCTAACAGCAGGCCTGAGGACCACTGCACACAGCATCCCAGGCACCTGCCAAAGCTACTTCCGTGCCTCTCCAACGAGAGACCCGTGAGCACTCTGAGGGGGTCGTCCTCACTTCTCTCACATCCTCCAGCACAAACACGCATCTGCATAGATAAAACAAACTCACGGACAGTAAACACTGGCCGTAAACACACATACCATGTTTAAGTTCCTCTCGTTAAATCCGCAGAGAATAAAAAAGGCATTTCCACAGAGCTCCTTCAGAATGACATGACTGCAAACATGTACGCTCAGCCACTTCAAAACCGCACTCTGGGGAAAAAATTCTTTGACCCCAAACATGTCCTATAAAATAAAAGGGAACCCAAGAATATCTCAGCATTTCATTCTGGCAGACAAGCCTCCCTGACCCACCTCAGAAGCAGAGACACACGCCAAGCGTCTCCATGTGTGACCCCAGAAAAGAAATGGCAACCAGCGGATGGTCGCACCAGGACACGCATAGGATACGTTTACTAAGGTCAAAGCAGATGTTAGGGAGGTGTATTTAAAGTCTCCTGTGAAGAGAAGAGGGAGAAAATCAAATCAGTTCACAGCAGACTCTTCACCACGGGAAGGAGCATTAGTGATCACTCATCCCAGGGCCATCCCCAAAAAGTATCATGGGCTGGTGGGCTCGTAGTGACTCCCGAGAGAGAGCCAAGACCGGTCAACAGTGTGTCTGCGTAGGACCCATACATCCAAGCCAATTCTACTGGCCAGGGAGCCGATTCCGGCCCCCTGCCTGTTGTCTTTTCCTTTTAACACTTTTTTCTTGCGCTAAAGCGTGCGTAACACAAAATTTACCGTTTGGGCCATTTTTAAGTGTTCAGGGGCGTTGGGACGCTCCCATTATTGTGCAACTAGCACCACTACCCATCTCCAGAGCTCTTCCAACACCTCAAGCTGAAACCCTGTTCCCATTAAACAAGAACTCCTCATTCCTCCCCTCACCAGCACTGCCTACTCTTATAAATAAAGTTTTATTGACACATACACAGGCACACTCCTTTTTCTCCACTTTGTCTCTGGCTGTTTTCACACTATAGTGGCAGAGTGCACAAATTCCAACAGAGAATGTAGGAGCGACACAGCCAACAGTATTTACTATATGGACCTTTAGAGAAAGTCTGCTGACTCCTGGTGTCCGTAAGCCCTGACCAACGGCCCCTGAACTTGTGTGCCAGGACTTCTGGGGCAATCGCTATGCCCGCAAAGATCTTCGCATACTGGTGCAACGGGAAACAGGAGAAAGATCTTCCATATATTGAACCCAAATGTATCCCCCTATAAGTTACACTTCTGCTGATGCCTACCCCGTGGAGGGACGAGCAGGAGTGAAAAATTCAAATGCCTCCCAAGGCAGTGTCCGCCCACCCCAGGAAAAAAAAAAAAAAGGTATGTTGAGGTCCTAATTCCCAGTAGCTCAGCATGTGAGCTGAGGGGACTTTATGTACATATCTGGAGACAGGGTCTTTACAGAGGTCATCAAGGGAAGATGCGGTGATCAGGGTGGACCCCAATGCAGTAGGGCTGGGGTCCTTACAGAAAGGAGAAATGTGGGCAGAGACAGACACACACACGGGGCACACACATAGGTGCACATGAAGGCGGAAACGGGAGTGATGCTCTTATAAGCCAAGGAATGCCAAGCAAGGCACCAGAAGCCAGAGGGAGGGTTCGAGAGTGTTAAAAGCCCCAGTGAACTGTAAATCGTATGCCCAGCCTAAGGGTGCAACTGCTTTGTGATACAGAGCACCCTTTACTCCCCCACCAACCCCCGGCCAAAAAATAATCAATTATCAAGATTTCAGCATTAGATACGCTTTTCAAAGGGTGTGACTAATTTGAAGTTTTAACACAGTATGGGCCATATTCAGCACTTCTTTAGGCAAATTCCGTCCACGTACACACAGCCTGTGACCTCTGTCAAGTCTGTCGACTACAAGACAGCCAACCAACATCTAAACACAGATACTGGGTCTCCCCGAATCTGCCTCTTCTCCTGACTAATCACATGACAAGTAGCTGGGGAGAACTGAGAAACATCGCGTGCAGAGAAGGTCATACCACAGGAAAAGGCATCAGTATTTAAAACTCCTGGCTTTGAGTCTATGTAATAGTCACATGTGATAAATGCAGAGGTTTTTGAGGTTCTCTCCTAAAAACACGAGGCTGGTGCATCACCGACCTAGAGGGCAATAAGCCACGCTTTCCTTTGGACTGACCAGGGATGTGAAGTTGACCCTGAGCTTCAGAACTGCTACCCGAACGCCACTGTGGTACACTCCCCTGTGAATTCTGTCCAAGCAGGACCGCACGTAGAGAAAAAGAAAGATCCACCTTACACACTTACAGGCCCGCTCAGATCAATCTTGATGTCTTTCTAATTCATATCTTTGTATTCTGAGAGTTAGGGCACTAAGCTTCCGTGGGGGCAACGCAGATTTCCCAGAGCAGATAATTCAAAGGTTTTATGAACATTTATTTTTTCGCTCTGTCCCTGTCCCAGGATATCAGAAAACACCACTGCCGGGAACAGTGACTCCCAAAGACCAGTCTGTTTCGTCTATACTAGGATCCGGTGGGGTGCTCTGTGAAAACGCAGATCCTGGGCCCCTCTCCAGATTTCACGAGCCACCGTCTCCAAGGTGGGGAGTGGGGAGGTTTGCATCTTTACAAGGCTACTAGATCACACTCTGCAAGAATTAAATTAAATCAGAAACCCTCCTATGACAGAGCCATTGCAGTTCTTCGGAAAGAAGGACACAAGGATGTGGCAATGGGAGATGAGCAACCACCTAGGAGTCTGGTTAAGGAAGCCGGAGTTCCCAATAACGGAGCACTTCCCACAAGGCCATTTAGAACGTGGTGCTGTTTTGTGCAGTAACGTGATAGCTCTCCAAGTGTGAAACACAGAATCCGCAGAACAATATACATAGTTGGCTACCGTCTTCATTAAAACAAAACACTACGTTTCTCTCGGGATCCGTGTACATATTTAAATTCACACGCAAGGTCTAGAGGAAAAGACCCACCCTGAGCACTGCGTTCAACTCTGAGGAGTGAGAGCGGCCTCGGTAATGGAAGGGGACTTTATGTACAATTTCTGAATGGTTTATAATGAAAACTGAAGCGTCTGTATGACCCGAGGCATTAAAAATAAATTTGGTTAGAGGGGGCCACATCTTATCTGTGCGTCCGGTCACTGGTGCAGAGAATCCATCTCAGGTGAGGGTCGGATTCTGAGATCAGAGTACAGTCTATATGCCCCGTGAACATCTCTTAAATGGCCCATATGTTACACCTGATTTTAAGTACATGCTCCTGTATGGGATTTCATGTGTGTGTATAAAAGTATCATACATGAAACCCAGAGGGTGTGTATGCATGGCAGACCATCTGGCCTCAGCTGGCTCTCAACTCGTCCTCCTGAAAACTGCTTCCTCCTTGAACAGGGCTTGGGGGTCACACCGTTCTAGGGTTGAGGTTACCAGTTTGTGTTGGGGGCCATGTTATGAAATGTAATAGGAACAGCGTCTTTCGATGGCCCTCAGCATGGCCAGGGTGGGGCTGTGGGAACAGCACGCTTCCCCTCTCCCATCTCCCGCCTGGTCCCAATACCCGCGGGCTCACCGTGCACGATAAAGAGCAACTCCAGGAGTTTACCTTCTCCCGGACTCCCTTGTGCTCCCTTTGTGTGGTGGGTGGAGAGCGCTGACAAGTTCACCAGGAGAACACGGTGCTCTCCTGTAGAGTCAGTGATACACCTTACCCCCCAGAACCTGGAGGTAGGGGTGAAGGGGGAAAGAAACACGATGGGGAGAAGCTGCCCTGCTGTTCCATCAACAGCAAAATATAGAGGAGGAAGGCACCGATTCTCCCTCTAAAGGCCAGTTCTTCAGGTCTGAAAAGGAAGTCCGTGGGGTAAGAGAGGGTGGGGGGAGCCCAAGTACCTTCAAGAGAAATTCTGGAAATCCTCCTAATTTACAGAGAGGGCTAGTAGAGAACGAAACTGAAGCCACAGGAGCCAGGGCAAAAAACATTTTAACCTTTCTGGCCAGCTCGGGAATCCGTGAAAATGCTATAAAACCTGTGGGAACAAAGGGGAGATGACAGGAATTCGATCTTGTAGGACTTTTCTCCGGAAAGGCAAAGGTGGGCGTGCACGACGCCCTCTAGTGGCAGCGTGAGAACCATGCAAGCAACGCCACCGCCAGCAAGAGGCCGAACACTCACACGGGGGCCTCTGAACTCAGTGTGCACTGAGTTTGATTAAACTAGTAAATCAAGTACTTGTTAAGTGCTTGACTCAATCTTCAACCCACCTATGCACTGGAAGAGAGCCAGAATATGTCCCTGCTCCCTTAGTCATGTAAGCCGAGCAAAGGAAAGACTCCCTAGCAGGGCACCCCACCACCCAGTCCCAGGAACGATTTACAGAGGCGTTCCGATCAGTCACCAATGACTCAGAAGGAACCTACACATTTAGAATGTTCTAGCTCTAAAATATCTTTCAGCTTCCTCTTGGGTCACTCCTTGCCTTGAACTTGGCCCCAGAGTGTCACTTTAGAAGGTAACTGAGGCAAGGGTCACAAGTACAGAAGTCATGGGAGAAGGATTATAAAATGAAGAAAAAAATGCTTAACTCGACTCTTAAGGAAGGTACACGCATCCGTGTTGCCTTCTGTCTGTAGCCTCTCAAACCGGCGACGAGTGTGTTCGGAGGCCGTGAGGGTGCGGACATTTAACCAAACACGTCAAGACTCTTAAGAGCAGGCCTACCTTTCACTGACTGATTCTGCTTCTTAGGAATGCATTCTAAGGAGATTGTGTGATAGAAACACAGAATCTAATCTTAGCACACACTAAGAGAAGGAATTAAATAAATTATGGGACAGGGCCCTAAGCCCTAATCAGAGGAACTCTTATTTGCTAGAATCATAGGCAATTTTTATTTTCTTTAAACTCTGCCAAAAAAAATTTCTTAAGTAGGCCCCACATCCAGCATGGAGCCCAACACGGGGCTTGAACTCATGACCCTGAGATCAAGACCTAAGCTGAGTTGGATGCCTAACCGACTGAGCCACCCAGGCGCCCCGAAATTTTTTTGTTTTTGTATACAATGAAGACACCTTCCTTTTATAATCAGCGTAAATAAAAAATGCATATGACTTTCTGAAACTATTTTAGAGATGAAGCATAACATGGCATGTTTGTAGTTAGTTTTATTCCACGTAAGAGTCAGTGTACTTTATTTTCTGTTTAAAAGTCTCTGCACTGAGAACGCCCTTGTTTCCTATCCTCTCATATCCCCATACTGCTAAACCAGGAAACTATGTGCTAGGCTGTGGCTTCCATTAATTCCTTCCATGTCAAGAGAACCGTACACCACGTCTAGCCATTAATACTGATGTGAAAGTCTGAATTTCCAGAGAACATTGTGAACTATTACTCCGGATTCCCTGCCCTTCCCCTCTTCATTATTTCTGCTTGGCATTAAAACAAAAAATGGACACACACCTCTATTCAAACTAACGTTATTTTTTTACATTTCACGTCTAAGGACAAACGCCAACTCTGTACCAAGCTCCAGTCTTTATCACATACATACCTATCGTGGTGCCTTGAGAGTGACCCACATAATACACTTGTTCTTGGCCAGTTTTATTCAGAACGAAGTTAATCGAAGCTGGCAGGTCATAGTTTGCCATTTCATCATAACTGGAATCCAAAAAAGGAACGCTTTCATTAAGACATGGCATGCAAACACAGCCACACACCAACACAACCACCTGCAAACAGTAAGGACACAGTGGGATGAGCGCCCAAAAGCCGAGCCCAGCTGGGTAAAGCAGCACTGAGCGCAGAAGACATTAACGGGACCGTGCGGGCCCCTCACCACCGTCCTCCTCTTTCATACAATAAATTAGTTTTACCCTTTCTTGAACTTTTCCATACGTGCGATCAAACAGTATGTATGTTTGCGTCTCTGGCTACATCCATGCTGTTGCGTAGCCGTTAGCCGTTCACTGTGTAAATACACAGCACTCCATCTGTCCATTCATTGCTGATGGGCATTTGGTAGTTTCGGACTTTTCACTATTACAAATGGCGCGACAACATATACATCCCCGCGCGTGCCTTTGGGAAAAGCTCCCATTCTTGCATTTCCTGTCTTTAGGTAAGCTGTGGTTTTACAAACGGGAAACAAGCCCGAAGGAGTCTATGGCTCTGACCTTCTCTAATACCAGGTACCAAGACACCTGTCATTAGGAGATGCGTGAGGCCCCGGACCCATGCACGGGTGCTGTTTGTCATTAGGAGATGCGTGAGCAGACCGTTACCTGGTGTGCAACATGCCAGGCTCTCTCCCTGTATCCTCTCCTCCCCGATGACCTCATGAGATAGGTATTTATTAGCCCCATTTTACAAAAAAGAATGCTGACACACAGAGGGCTTATGCGACAAGCGCCACGTCATGCAGTGAGTCAGGCAGAGCCAGAAGTAACAGAGGGGAGAGGACAATTTCTGGAAATAGAGAACGGTGCATGTTGATGGAGGAAGGAAGAAGGTTCTAAGACACAATTAACCCAGCAGCTCCCACACGGCCTGGAATGCCAAAATAACTAAAAATCCATAAATGAATCTAATTCTTAATATGAAATTATTTGCTTGTAATTTACCCGGCTGTGATTTACTAAATTCCTCAGCAGGTTTAAAGCCTTCCACGAGCCATCAGTTTCCCCTCTCCTACAATTCCGAGTTGCCCATCTATCTGCCTCCCCGGATGTGTTTGCGTTAAGGGTGCGAAGGAAACAGCCCCGGTCATGATCAATTCCAACGTACCTGAAGGTCCAGAATTCATCCTGGGAAACTGAAAGAGTCTTGTGTTTCCGAGACCAGGTGTTCCCCCTGCTGTTGCCCAGCCACACGTCGAAACCGGCGTCTGCCAGGATGAAGCCCAGGCTGCTGTTGGGCAGGTTTGTGACCCAGTTACTAGAATCTGCCAGCAGGCCGTGCTGCAGGAACACCACTGGCTTAGGACCTGAAAAACATTCGGGTTTAGGAGGCAGAAGCACCTCACTGTAAAGCCAACGTGAGATCTTGCCGAGCAGATCATTCATAAAAGATCCCGAAGCAAATAATGAGCTAAGAACAAATCCAAATGCTGAGGTAGCAATGTATTCCTATATGACGCAGGTAAAGAATATCTTTTTAAACAGTGCTGGCAAAGGAGTAGCAAAAATAGACTATTTTGCATAGCTGATAACCAGACACAGGGACTTAACCGTAAAAAAAAAAAAGTTAATACATTTTTTAAGAGCCGATGAAATGTTTCTATAATTTATTTGCTCCAGTAATTGCATTTCTTACAATGTATCCTAAGGAAATAAACCAAAAGACAGAAAAAGACTATATACAAGGGCGCCTGGGTGGCTCAGTCGGATGGGCGTCTACCTTCGGCTCAGGTCATGATCCCAGGGTCCTGGGATCAAGTCCTGCATCGGGCTCCCGGCTCGGCGGGAAGCCTGCTTCTCCCTCTCCCTCTGCCCCTCCCCCGCTTGTGCTCGTTCTCTCTCTCAAACAAATAAAATCTTTAAAAAAAGATTATATATATACAAATTCATAAATACATCTATACATATTCTTTTATTTACATATATGTTCTTTTATTTATTTTTTATTTTCTACTCACCTACACACTGATGTAGTGGAAAAACAAAGACTCGGGAGCCGGAGAAACATGACCTCTGGCTGTTTACATCAGTTAAGACCATTTAGTCATTCATTAACCAAGCATTCATTGAGCACCAACTATGTGTCAGGCGTTCCCAGCACCGGGCACACGGCAGAGAACAAACACAGAAAGAAAACAATTCACCATCACGGAGCTGATTTGATACTGACCACGAGTGTTAGAGACAGACACACCCAGGTTTGAACCTGTCCTCTCCAGTTTCGGACTGGTGCCCTGTGCAAAGCACTTCAACATCCCCTGAAACTTACATCATCCCCTGTAGCAAGGAAATGTCCTACACACTTTATAAGGAGTAACGAGCCAGGAGATATGACATGAAAAGTTCTTAGCAAAGTGCCTGATACACAGTAAGAGTTCAATAAACATTAGCTCATTATTGTCACCTAGCCAGTCTGAGTCTCCGTTCCATAAATAACTGTCAACAGAAATAAATGAGGTAATTAAGTCACAGACACAGAGATCACAAAGTAAGAGCTCCCTTTGCCTTCGGCCCATTTGTTAGGATAGTGAAACGCTGGGGGCTGGAGAAGCTGATTGTTGAGTGGTCAAATAACTCACTGCAGTATTCCAGCCATCTACAATGACAAGGACTGTGGCTAGCCCAGAAAAGTTCATAACCCAGCCTGGAAAGGGGGGGAAAAAAGCAAAGCACAAAACAATAGACTACTCTGGACAATAGCTAGACAGCAATGATGTGTGCAAACGAGAAGAGGTGTAAAAATATCAAGGAGAAATGGGAAGAAAGATTCTTCCGGACAGATGGGAAGTGAACTGACAAATGTTTACTCCTGTTTATGTCCTACGATGGATTTGGTAACTAATGAACTGCTTTTCAAGTGTCTGTCCCTCTGAAGCAGGTGGCTCTCCAGACAACTCCAGGAGGCCCGGTCCAAATACTTCGCAGCACGAACATCACCCCACAGTCATGCTGTGTGGACGCTGCTCCCCGCATCTGCAGAGACCGCGGGACGGCCTGCCAAGCAAAGGTCCAAACAACTCCTGTGATTCTGTAATGACACACGGCAACCCTCTGCATGGCGAGGGCCATGCCTGTGACTTTCTCCCAGGGGGGAGAGACTAGAGAGCAAAATAGATCCAGATTGGGGCAGCGTGACAAGCACTTTGTTGTCTTCGGCGTTCATTCTGGTGCGACGTTACCAGGACTACCTGACTGACAAAGCTCTACGGACAAGGCGCTGTGGGATCCGTAGCATCTGAGAGGCTAGCTCAGTGAAGAAGATCCTAATCTAACGGGGGAAATAAGAATCATCATAGAAAGTTCAAATGAACTTCAGTGATGCAATCACAATTACTGAAATTAATTTGTCGTTAAATTGCAGCTCATGAGATGTGTTTTAAGTAACAGCTGCTCCTCAGCAGGGCTGCCCTGTGGGGACGGTGACAAGAGGCAAGGTCGCTCAGGGTAACTGAGCATTGCCCCGTGAAGCCACACGATGCTGTTCAGTATCCATCCCTTCGGCGCGGTACGACCTGTGTCTCTCCTCAAAGGTGCTTTGGGGCCGCGCCAGGAGGAATAAGACTTAACCTTAAAAGATCAGCAAGTCAGGCCGATCGAGGCAACCCTTTGGCAACATTCGGGCACGACCAGGGCTGGACTGCCTGGTTCCAAGAGGTGCTCCTGCCCGTCATCCATGACCTAAAACCATGATCTGCCCATGGAGCCATCTCCCCCCCGGGGAAAGGGGACCAAGGACGGGCCAGGGGCATGGCAGACTGAAAACCTGCCTCTGCTCAGCCGACTCCTCAGGGCCCAGCTCTGAGAACAGCAGGAATGGTCTCAAGGGGGAGGGAGTGCAGAGGAGAGGGCAGGGCAGCCTGGCCAGGGTTGAGGCTGGAAGGGGAGGCGGGAGTCAGCCTGTGGGAGACCAGATGTCAGTTCCCTCCCTTGGGGAATGTTTACAACTCCCCTGACATCTATCTCTCTATGTTATACGTCCCTCCCTAACCCGGGAGCTTCAAAGGAGAAATGTGGACATTGGCAAGGTGAAGATACACCGGAAAATTCTTTGAACACCACCGGTCAATAATTCCTGGATTCCCACAGGCAACGAGAAGTCACGGGTGCTCTCTCAGAAGGTAAGCACGAAGCCGAGAAAGGGCAGAGGGCCAGGTGAAGCGCATGCCCAGGCCCCACAGCCGACCTCATGCTAGACGTGGGGGACACAAAGGTGGGTAAGCAACACTCCCTCCCCCAGGGAGCTCCATTCCAGCCCAGGAGACAGACGTACAATTACCTTCTAGGCCAGCGTGAAGAAGCCAGACCCCCACCCAGGAAAGCCCCCAGGAAAGAAAGTCAGGCAGCCAGAGTCAGGGACATGGGAGCCAGATTTTGAGAGAGAGACAGAACGCCCCACGGAGGGTTCTGGGGAAGAAAAGGGACCCTGGATTTGTGGAACGGACAGGGCGCCCTGGGCCGCAGTCAGACAGGACCCCAGAGCGCACACCGACAGCCCCCTGCAGGAGCTGGACTCCAGGTGGGGCCGGGGACCACTGGTAAGGGTCAGTGCCTTGTCTGACCTGGAGACATGAGGGACCCTGTGGGGAGCACATCCTTCCAGCTGGGCCAGCTTCCTTTCCTTCTAGAACCAAAGTGCCCTTCTGGGCTTCCAGCACCCATGATTTCGTCAGACAGACAAAACATTAACAAAGCCTGGCCTGGGGTGGCAAAGGGGTACGAAAAAGTTTGTCCCTTCCCTCTGGCGATCAGCGACTGCAGGAGGACACCCAGAAAAGACAGGGCCCTGCAAATGGCCTGTCCCCGCACCTGCCAGCTTCCCTTACCTGCTCCCACCAGGGTAAAGAAAGGAAGGCATTGCATCCTTCTTTCCCATCCCGCTACCAGTCAAGGACTTAAGCATTTGCTGGAAAAGAAGTATCTCTCTGGGAGGCTCAATCCTACAGCTATTCACGTCTTTCAGTGAGTTAGTTTAATTGGATTTCTTTTCACCTTGCTGAGAAAAGCTGACTGCAGTAATAACTCGCTATTATTACACACTCGTTCACTCTAAGGTACTTTGCCGAAAACAGAACAGGACACGGTGGCTGAGAGAAGTCAAGTACTTTACCCAAGGTTGAACGAGGGCTGCTAAAAGGGGGAGTCGGGATTTGAACCGGGGATGTCTGATGCCAGGGTCCATGCTCTTTCCCGCTTGGCCATAAAAGGAAGGTTACCAAGAGAGACGTCATTCGGTAGCATACAGAGGCCCTTGGAGAACGACAGGCTGAAGAGGAAAAGCTATGCTGGAGGGAGTTGGAGCAGGGGCTCAGGAGAAAGGAAGTTCGCGTGGATGGAAACTCAGAGGAGGAGGCAGGGACGTGGTAGGCAGACTCGCCAGCTCAGGCAGGGTGCCCAAGCCCCAGCCCAGGCCACGCACTCCAGAGCCTGAGGCCTGGTTCATCTGAGCGACAAACTAACACAACTGTACAAGGGCTGGCTCCTCAGCTGTGCCCAGACCCGGCTTGTTGGTCCCAGACTAGCTCTGGTAGAGCTGGGGGCTGAGGGAAGGGCCTGGAAGCCCCTCAGCCCAGAGAGGGCCAAAGGTCACCTCAATAGCCCAGAGCCAGGGAGGGGAAGTGGCCTGGGGCCTGGCCCGCCACAGTGCTGCCTGACTCAGCCCAAATATGGGTGGAAGCGAGAAGGGGATTTCAGGCTCCAAAAACGAAATGTGCTGAGCCCACAGTCTAACAGGAGGAAGTGGCCCGGGCAGGTGGGGAAGGCCTTCCTGCGTCCCAAGGCACTGGCCATCTCCACCGCTGTGCTCCAACGGTGTGAAATCAGCTGAGTCCAAGAAGCACAGGGACAACAAAATGAGGTCACCGAGGTCAGGGTGGTGGCGTGAAACAGACCTTGGTTCTCGCCAGATGGGAAACCTTGTAAGATTTACTCAATGTCTCTGAAGTCTACGTGCTACTTTCTAAAGTGGGAATCACTCGGCGGCCGATACGCAGTAAAGCTCAACAAGTAACAGTCGCTCGTAATCGTAATAAATATATAAAGGTCATAAAATATTATCAGAACACAAGCACTGTGAAGAAAGATAAAATGAAGTGGCATCCCTTAGCCAAGATACTTAAACACGGTTACGGCAGGAGCATACTAAGTGCTGACTATGTTAGGCACCGTGCCAAGCACCTTGCACGCATTATCACCAAACAGCTGCGTGGGTGCGGTGGGCTGAACACTGGCCCCCAGATGTGTCCGCATCCTAATTCCCAGAACCTGTGAACGTATCACCTTACATCGTAAAAGGGGTTTGCAGATGTGA